TTTGCAGTTTGCACACACACAGCCTCTTCCCAATATGCGTTTTTGCAATTTGCATATATGTAAAAACGCATAAAAAACGATCGCTAAACGGAAATTATTTGTTTTCGTTTACGCAAAATTTACGATAATTTGCGGTATTGAGCGCACAAGGTAAGTGTGAAGCGGCAACCATTCATGCAGTCAACTTAATTGCTTCAATTCTGGAGCGAAAACGCATGATCGCACCGGCTTGCCTGGTGCGTCCCAGCCTGGGTTCTGGTAATTGCTTGCTCGCTGAAAAAAAAATGCAAATTTCCAGTCCACTAAGAAGTGTTGTTAGAGCGGTCGTTCGGCATTTACATGTTGGGGGAGGTGAGGGTGGTCGTTCGCTGCAAAATGTATTCGTTTCTGATTTTACGGTAAAGTTGAATATTTCTCATGCCCATCGCATCTTATCCGGCAAGCGAAATAGCTACTTCTCTACAAATATGTTTGAAGTGCCCTAAATCGTGGCGCAAGTGCAAATCGGTATTCATTTTAGGTATACGATGTCCCATATGGACGATAATCATGCTGACATCATTTCAGCCAACGTTTTCTTGCAAGTTTTCGAGTTAGCACAGTAATAATTTGCAAACTTTGACGTGATCGTATGCGCTGCACAAGCTGTGCGCGACAGCTGAATTTGAAATCTTCAGCTCGCACATGCACAGAGAATATCCCTGAAAAGTTCAGCTTTGTACGTTGTTTGGTTCGCAAAATCGTTTCCAGCCAAAGAAATCTGCATACTTTTTTCGGGATCCGTACGCGGAGTCTAGGCATGTATGAGCGAAAATTTTAAAACGGGAGAATGATTTTTTACATGGGGTAAGAACATATACCTAAAATTTCAGCCTTCCAGATTTCCTGGTTGCTGAGATGGAAATGGGTGACAAAGTTCACTCACTGAACAAACACCCACATTGACGACTTCTCGACAATATGCGTTTTTACTCGCTGTAGTAGCACTATAGCACTGCACAGCAAAAACGCATAAAAACTTACTTGGTAACTTTGAATATTCGCAGAAGACGAGCTGAGCGCAAAACGGAAACACCCAACGGCTTCATTAGATCGAAGTACACCAGAACAAACTCGATAATAGAGCTAAAAAGCAATATAAAAGCTGAATTAGGAAGGCGAGAGAGAGGGAAAGAGCTGTAAACCATAATACATTTCCAACGAACATTCAAAATAAAAAGAAAATCATCCCTGGATTTTTGACCAGAAATGATTTTTCTTCTCACCATTTCATTTCTAATGAATTCAGCCCATGAGCTAGAGTGCACAGCAGCGTGTGTCAAAGACTAGAGCGCACGCCAATACGTTTTTGTCTCCAGTTCTTGTCTCCAGCTAATGTGGGAAACCGGGACACAGATTGGCTGTGCAAAAGACAGCTGGACTTTGCTACTTTGTACTCACAAATCATCCATCGGCCGTGAATTCCTGGATCTTCACTTATGTCTTGATTCGTTCTTGAAGTTATGATATCAACCAAAATTAGCATTCAACAGTTTGAGCCTAAGGAAATAGCGAGATTCAAGAGGTGATTTGGATACTACACCTGCACTGCACGATGAAATAAATTTTAAAAAGTCAAGCCTGCATCTCATTTAGTTTTGATATTTCGTCATTAGCCTGTAATTGAAATAAAGTGAGGGCCAGAGTTTGACTTCTATTCATTTATCTTATTTTATAGACAGTAAAACTATATTTGCAGACATTTGCGTTCAAATTTATAGACGTTGAAATCACTTCAGGACGAATTCGAATTTGGAAGTTTGAAGTTTTCTTATCCGTATTGTGTGGGTAATTGAAGTAACGGAAATTCGAATTTTGCTTTGCACGTAATTGATGCGTGTTGCTGCCTGGGTCAAGTGGGTTTTAGGCATAGGAATAAAGACCATGACACAGATTAAACTTGAAAGTTAATTGTACGTATGAGACACGTGACGGCTTCAGGAGATATTTCAAAAATTTCATTCTCGAGTCAACAAAGCTGAAAATTTGCAATGATATTCCATATTCACTTGAGGCCTAAACTCAGCTTGGAGGCTAAATTTTCTGCATATGAACATGACAAACAGTTCGCTTTGCGAATATGAAATTCGACAGAACAGAAATACATTGCTATACGCATATGTAGGCAAATTCTCCCACAGTGTACTTTCAGAAATGCGTGCAGAAGTAAGCCAACAAAAAAAAGACGAAAGACTAATTTAAATTTATATTATATTTTTAGAATCGATAAATTTCGCATACCTAATGACAACGAAGCAATCGAATCTGTTGAACTGGGACGTTGTATAAGTGGTCAGACCGAGTGAATACATTTTTAAAATCATCTCCATTGAAAACAGTACGACAAAAAACAGATTTGCCACTGCTAAAGTAACAACTTTCTTTTAGCCCCCGAAACATGATTGATCAGATCCCCAAAATTAGCTGCCTCTGACAGGCAGAGGTACTTCAAATAGGCATAAGCACAACTTGTAAATATATCTATGCCAATATTTGCGTATGTATTATTTTTGAACTGAATTGGCTGTGGGAGTGTATAACACATGCCAAATGATTACGACAGAAAGTTGTTAAAGTAATACGGGTGTTGGGGGATAAGACTGTCGATGTTTGGAGCTGCTAGTAGATAAAGAAGTACTGTTTTAGCCGAAGAAACATCGTATCCTTCTGTTGATAATGTTAGTTTCCTACACGGACTTGGAAAACCTCTTACAGGTTCGCAAGCAAACTGGCTGCCTTCACGATTAACATTTAACAAGTGGTAAACTAATATTTTCCGGACAGTGCAACCGCAAAAAGCACTCAAGTAAACCAGACGGAATCGGGGCAACAAGGCTTGTTGTTGTCCTACGCTCGTTGTAAACAGTTTGTCAGTGATGGACAAGGAACCTTAGTAGTAGAAAAAACGTCAGGCCTTATTCAAAGCCTTGATTCATCCAGGAAGCAGCTCAAGAAGTATAAGTGCAGAACTGACGCATGTCGATGCACGCTGCTTTCTGCATGTGTCAGTTTAGCCCTCCATTTTTCCGCTTGCTTGCTTGTGCCTCGGCTTGAGTGTTATTTTCTGCCTTTCTTTTGCTCGTGAGTCGACATCAACCTTCTGTTTCCCATTTGTGGCCTTTGTGATTAACTGGCGAATGCGAGCGAATCAGCTTTTACCGCAGAACATGCGGCCTGTATGTCGTTCGTTTTGATTGGCCTTCATTACTACAACGCTCCTATACTTTCAGCAATGTCACTGGCTCCTCTAACTGCAAGTTCACACCGTCTATCCAACGAAGTTATTTACAGTATGGAATCTTCGCAAAGTTATGGATACAAAATGGAGAAGGTAACAGTGCAAGACAAATAAATAACGAAACAAACTCTGGAAGTGATCGAGCCATGGTTCCTGCTTGTAATGTTCGGTGGTGAGGACAAGAGTGTTGAGCAATACAAGAACGATCACCAGCCAATAAAACGTTTGCGACTTGACCAGCCTACAGTCAGGATTAAATTGAGCCTTCAAAGTTAATATAATACTAAGTCAAAGTTTAAATCAATCATAAGAAACATTTTAAATGTTTTGAATATCTTTTGCCTCCTGACTTATTATAGTCAACTATGCATATGTTAAACTGACCGCAGTAAAGTTTCTAAATGCTAACAAGAGAGAATCTCTTGGCAAAAAAGAACATTCGCACGTACTTAGATAGATCAAAAAGATCTGAAGGTCACCTTAAAAAATTCAACTTCATATTGAAAAATAAATTTTAGCAAAAAAGCAGAAATGAATATTACCTCTGGATGCGATTGAAATGAAAGAACTATGCAAGATGTAGATTTGGACTTAAAAGCTAGAAGCAAAAACCTTCGACATCCACGCCGACATCGCCTATTGAGTTTTTGCATTCTTCGAAGTCTTTTCTTCCACCACGAAGGTCTTGAATCATCAGTTTTTTCGTCTGCTTCTTCATCAAGCTCTTCACCTACAAAGGACCTACAACTAATAATGGATTACCTGTAAAAGCTGTTACAGATTAAAAAAATAAAACTAACCGTTGAACTGCTGCTCATCTTCTTGCTCATCATCATTAACTGGCTCAATATCTTCAGCTTGATTGATCCAGTCTAGATATCCCTACAAACAATCAGATTTTGCAACAATTCTCGAAATGCTTATGAACTTTTGCAAGATTTCTCAATTAAATTTTTTTTCAAATGCTCATTAAATTAAACGTTTTTTGTGGCTTTTTTCGAGATAAAAATTTTTCGGGGTGTAGTTCATGCAGAATGAATGAAAATTCTGGCCTTCAGATCTTCTTCAAGCTGTTGTTTCTCTCGAAATTTCTGGAAAAGACCGCGAGCCCTTGCTTTCTCTCTTTCTTTGGAAAATTCACTACAAATAGACAATGACGTCAGTGGAGCAAGTTTATTTAGATTCAGATTTATTTTATTTACTAAAATAAGTACAAATACAATTCAAGTGTGAATCCACAGCTGCAAACCGACCCGGAAAGAACACCAAGCACTAAGTTGAGCACGAAGAAGGAGCCAAGGATAACCAGTGTAACAAAATATATCCATGGCCATTCTCGGCCAACAGCATCGTTCACCTGCAATATACGGGCTTACTTTTGAAGCCTATTTACACACCTAGCAGTAGCGCGTGAAAACCTGAAGTGTGATTGTGTGTTTCTTCTAATAATAGCTCAATTTGTCTTTTGAAAATATCCTAGCTATATCACTGCTCACGATATTTAAGTGATCGTTCCACTGCACTGCGTCAATTGCGGCTCCTACAGTCGCTGCTGCTCTCTGTGTGACGAGAGGCTTAAAAGTCCTGAAATGCTTTTCAACAAGTTATTCCCTTCATCTGTTGAAGGATGATTAGCTTCACACTCAGTAGCAGCAAACCCAGACAAGACGTTTTAGCTTTATGAGACTTTACTGAAATGACGAGGAACCCAGCAAGTAAACGGTCTGGGAATTTGTTATTAAACTCGATTTTCAGTCAGTCAAAGGCAAGGCTTAGTTACTCCAAGTCAACCTGCATAGCTTTCATTTCACTGCCGCCAGCTGCCCCCACTGAATACTGTAGCCTGTAACATCCAAACTTGGCTAGAAAAAGTGCCCTAAAACTCGTCCTTGGTCTAAGAAAGTAGTTCTGAAGGTTTATGCACGCACCGTTTCTACATGCTGCTCTGATATCCCAAACCACCACAAGCTGCCCTGAGTTTTTCCCAGGGAGCGATGCATAATCTACGACATGTCGTCTTCAAACAAATGAATAGCGGTAGTAATGATAATAATAATGATTATAATAATAGATTTAATAACGATAGTCATAGCGCAAATAAGAATTACAGTTATCATTACAACTGTCGTAAGTACAATTGTTGCAACGGTAATAAATAATAATTGTAATTATTATTACTGTGTTGATAATAACAGTACTAAGTAGTAAAAATTATAATTGTAATGGTAATGATTTTAATAAAAATATTATTTTTGTTGATATTAAAACCAGCATAGTAATATATCAAGAAAATTTATATTAATATGACATAATAGTATTAATAACATCTATAGTTTAGTAATTACAAGCATAAAGATAGGGTAATAATAATGGCATGCAAGCAATAATAGCCGCTCTGATACCCCAAACCATCAAAAGTTGTCCGGAGTTTTTCCGAGAAAGCGACTGTTAACCAGTAAAACATATTACATGTAATGATTTTTAAAAAGTTGGATGGGCTAAAATATGACAGAAGGTAAGATCTAAGTAAAAAAGAAGTTAATAAATAAAAGAGAATTTTTGACCCAGTAAATAGCATACATTCCTTTCCAGTCCTTTTCAGTACCGCAGCCAAACCCCCTCAGTACGGCGGTTGTAGTATATTAGTTTTATAGAAATTTGGCGATGATGCTTTGTTTCGTGCCGATCTTATATAGCTCCCAAAAGCTTATTATAACGGGAGCTGCATCTAAGTCCCAGAACGCACTTGAGGAATAACTAAGATGAGTTAAACTTGCTGGAGTGCTGATCTGCCGTTGAAATAGATTAGCAAGCTGTACGCAATTTTGGCTGATTTTTTCATCTACAGCTTCGAAAAAAGATATGAAATTGCTGCCATATTTTTTCCTGTTATCATGTCAACACAAAGTAACATAAGTTGCGTATGTAGATATCGTTGCTTAAAGCGGGAGTTGTGCGACTGCATGAAGTATGTGTCTATGCCGAGAGCCCAAGCAACAACTGGAAAAATCGATGTACTTTTAGCCCTCAAAAATATGAGCTGAGGACAATTTTTTTTGAAGCTTCAATTTTAAAGCATCAAAGCTTCACTGATTAAAGGCTTATGCATCACGAGTGCAAAAAGTTTTCACGGGAGATTAAGGATGTAGTAAAGAAATCTGTTCAGAGTCGAAGCTTTTATGCAAGGATCGACGAAGCATGCTGACAGGCAGTTGCATAAATGCGAATGAAACATTACCCAGTACATGACGTCGGTCCAGCCTTCAAGTGAGACGCACTGAAAAACAGTTAACATAGCTAAGCCAAAATTGTCGAAATTCGTGATTCCGTTGTTGGGTCCTTGCCAAGAAGTGTTTGACGTACAAATCCACTGCACTCCCTCATAGTGTCCTGCAGCCATTATTACATTTTTGTATAGTTCAGTCATCGAATTTCAGCAGTTGAATGGATGAGATTCTCCAGCTGTTGTAAGCCATTATTCCGTTTCTTTCCCTTCCTTCTAATTAATCGGTCAAGAGATCAGTGAGATGAAATGGTCAACAGCGTAGAAAGTGAAGATGTTCGATCCATTCTGCTTTTCCAAGGAATATAAATTATCAGTGTCTGTTAAGAACCAGTAATAACTCATGAAACTCTCATTTACTACCAGTAATTTCTAAAAATTTTTTCCAGGCCAAAGAATATATTTCTTCAGTGGTACATTATATACAAAAAATACTAACTACCCTACTGCTGACGACGTTCGACTACATATCTGAAGAAGTTGTCCAATTATCATGTGCACACTCGGATAACAACAGCACTAGCAACAAAAATAACGTTATAAAGTCGTCACAGAAATAATGCAGGTTTCCAGTTGCATAATCCGTAAGATTTAAAGCCCAAATCCCCTCCGTGTTCGTTCTCTATGAGGAGAATGAGCACACAGGGAGTAGGCCAAAAAGTAATCCATACGATTTATTCCATAACAGATCCTTGAATTTATGCATCACTTAAGAGCTTAGGTTCGTTTGTGGTGCGCATGATTCTACACAAGATTCGCAGTGGTGCTCAATTTTCAGTCAGAACACAGGGCTGCTTAAAAGAGACTTGCAGCAAATCAATGTTGACGAATTCGAAGTTGCTTGGAGTAGTGCAGTGAAAAAAGCTTAATCTGAACAATTATCTGGTCCTTTCATAGTGTGTCGAGTATGCAGACCACTACTAGCGTAAATATTGCTAGCAAATGGAAGACTTTAAATCATGTGTCCATTTATCTGGCGATCATTTCATGTTCCTTTTACTCAATTCGGTTATTTTTAGGAATGCAATGTCAGTTAATTCGGCAGTTATCACGACGGTACTGTTACTATCATCATCAGTAAGATAAAACTTTATACTGATGCGGCGTTCAAGATGGTGGAGGCCGTTAAATCCCGATTTTATAGGCACAGTTATTACGAATCATAATTTACCAAACTCCAGTCAAAAGATTACCATTTGGCTGGCAGTGAAATGCAGATGACGCAAAACCACACGTAGATGGCGTATGCTGCGCTAGCTGGCCGGTTGCTGGATCCAGACTGTAACATTTAATTCTCTGCTGGTTTTTGCATTACTATTGATAACAACAAATATTAATGTTAAGTGTTTCGGATCCGGGTTTTTAAAAAATTTTTGAGCATGAGTGATTAGAACAGAATGTTTTTTTGCTTACTGTTCTGGCTGTCTGGTTAAGCTTAATGCCTGTTACTGCAAGAGTTTGATAAATCAAGTTTGAGGAGACGAAATAGACGTCAGGTTCGCTGGCAAGCTGACAATAGACAAAGCAGCATTGATTAAAGCAATAGGAAAACCTCCGGCTACACAGTTTAAAACCACACTATGAATTAACAGTTATTTCTTGTCGTGTTTGAATGCCCTTCCCCCTCCCCGTCCAAATGTAAAGCACGTAGAAAAAGTTATGCACGTTCAAAAACTCCCACACTTGATAAATGCAAAAAAAAGAACGAACCATGTCGAATGAAGCTTGCCGCAAAATAACTCGAGACCAATAATTGCGTATATTATAATAACAAACATGACTAACAGAGCGATATGAAGCAACGGAATCATTGCACGAAGGATGGCATTTAAAACAACTTGTAAGCCTTAAATTTTGCAAACATTTTTTTAAAATTTTAAAGCAGAAGCTTGTTATGCGTTTTTGCATAATATGCACAAGTGCGAAAACGCATATTGCGACGACCCCGGTGTGTGTGTGTATGTGTGT